ATCAATCAATTACAGGTTTTAAATACAGTTTATTATTTTTATTGACATTTTCAGATTGCAAAATATATCTCATTAAAATGCCACACATATAGCACCAGGGTGGGAAGAAAAGACTTAATGAAAATATGATTTAATGATCATTAATAATAAGAGTGCTCAGAACATTTGATCTCGGTGTGCAAAGCCGTACACTGTCTTCGAGGAACAAGATGATGACACTAGGAAATTGATCTTGTCTTTCATCAGTCAAGATTCTTTATTGCATTTTGAAAGGCTATTAAGAAATTAAAAAAAAACACACCTAAGTATACCAGAAAAAACAACACTGCATTAGGGCAACGCAGATATTCACTAATCTGTGGATTTATAGAAAAGGGTATTATTGTGTGTGGATCTGAATAAATCAAAACAAAATAAAAAATAAACCACAAAAAGCAACCTGAAAGGATAGATTAAAATAATATATAAATAATAAAGGAGCTGTACCTTATCAATAATATGTTCTTTTATTCTATTATCGAAGGCATATTATGATGTGGAATACCTGGCAAAAATGGAAATCAAAATTGTGGCACAATCAAAAAAAAATACTTCTTATAAACATAATACTAAAAATATTTAGAGCCATCACTTTCTTTTTAAATTTTTATGGTAAGAAATAAAAACATTCTATAGTTGAGTGTTTAAGTTCATTTGATCAGTATCCATGAGTAGCTAAACACTGACATTATAGAACAGTTAAAGACTTACGTTAAGCATCATAGCCAGTGTGTCTGAGTATATTACAGAGCTCAACAGCAATAATACTCACAATAATGTGTCTTTAACCCATTTGTGACCAAGGACGTATCAGGTAAGTCCGAGAAAAAATGGTCCTTAAGGACCGCGGACATACCTGATACGTCCGCGGCTAATTAGAGTGCTGGAAGCGATCATAATTGCTCCCAGCTGCTCTAACGGTATTGAAGTGATGCCTCGATGTCGAGGCATCATGCAATACCCCCCTCACTGCCGGGCAGCCGGGCGATCGATCCCCCCGGAACAATCACTTCCGGATTGCCCCATGTGGGCCCGGCAGTGAGGCAGAGCATCGGAAGACATCAGGCAGGCTTCTGATGCTCTGCCTGTGCTGAGTGCCTCAAGGGGCAAAAAAAAATTAACCCCTTCCCTCCCTCCCTCTCCCTTCATATGTACTTACCTGATCACTGCCGTTCCCCCGCCAGCTATCTGAATTCTTCTTCTATTCTGTTTGAAAGCCCAGACAGTCCCCCCTCTGGAAATTAGGACCCCCAGGGGCCATGCACATGGAAGCAATAGGTGTCCATAATGCTGTCAGCAGGGGGACTGCCTGAACTGACAGGCATTCCCCCTGCTGGTGAAAAAAATGTAAGAAAAGTAAAAATAATAATATATATATATAGATATATATATATATATATATATATATGTATATATATATTATATATAACGTCATACTACGTTTATTTTTTATTAATATATACATATATTAATATAAAAATACACAGAGTAAAATTACACATATATATATATATGTATAACATAATAACTATATATATATATATATATATATATATATATATATATATATATATATATATATATATATATATATTATTTAAAAAATATTTAATTACAAATAAATAAAATGTAAAAATAAATTTACAAAAAAAATAAAAT